GTTTCAAAATCAAAACATGGCGCGGGTGTTTTATATGAATGTATCTCTAAAGGAAACCGACTGTCTTCAGAATAGTTTAGATGGCATTTTTATCTGATAAAGTAGCGTTCATGAGCGGAGCTGCTTTGTTTACAGCCATTTTAGCAAATGGCTGCAATATAACAAAGAGTGAAAAATTTAAGAGGGTCTGAATACTTTCCGTACCCACTGTATATACAGTATATATATATATAAAAAAAAAAACATGACACTCACATCATGAGCAATGTTGTGTTCAGCTCAGTATTCTGGGTATAAATGTTTGACGCTTGAAACAGAAATTTCATAAACTTCACTAAAACACCAAATAATTAACAATAATAGAATATTCCTCCTAAGTATAGTTTTATTTATTCATTTTTAACCCATGTATATAACTAAGGATATGTACAATATGCACATCAAGCTATCCATCCGTACAGCCAAAATGGCCTAGCACATGACAAAAAAAAGACTCCTGCTGCGAATATTCTTCTTCAAAACAGCAACACCACCCATAATAACGGTTATCGCTATAGATGGCTGCAGTGATTAGAAATGAGAGAGGGAATGGTGGGGATCTAGACCGCAGTATATATATATATAAAAAAAAACATGACACTCACATCATGAGCAATGTTGTGTTCAGCTCAGTATTCTGGGTTTAAATGTTTGACGCTTGAAACAGAAATTTCATAAACTTCACTAAAACACCAAATAATTAACAATAATAGAATATTCCTCCTAAGTATAGTTTTATTTATTCATTTTTAACCCATGTATATAACTAAGGATATGTACAATATGCACATCAAGCTATCCATCCGTACAGCCAAAATGGCCTAGCACATGACAAAAAAAAGACTCCTGCTGCGAATATTCTTCTTCAAAACAGCAACACCACCCATAATAACGGTTATCGCTATAGATGGCTGCAGTGATTAGAAATGAGAGAGGGAATGGTGGGGATCTAGACCGCAGCTCTACATCACAGTTTCCCCTTTTCTCCTCTACTGCCCACAGCGGTTTATTCTTCCTAAATGGGCCGGGCACTATTTTCATGAGACATTCATGCAAAACACTGTACTTTCCTGGTGGTGTTAATTACTACACATCAAGGATTAACGGCATTTGGCACGCACATTTGCGCAAGAGGAGAGAACAGAGATTTCCTCTATATCAGGCAGTGGAATCATCATTTGGTTTCTCGTGAATCAGTGCAGGCCATTCCTTAAAATCACAGGTCTTATCTAGGTTTGGATAAAACTGTCCATGACGTCTCCACCCAGTACGCCAGCAGCTAATAAGGTTATGGTATAACTTAAACAAAGGCACGGCTTCTTTTTCAGAGGCGACAGGCAAACAAAATTCTTTTGCAACAACAGAAGTGAACTCCATTTGTAAAAGGCGATATCACATGACACTATCACATCTACACAAGGAGAAATGGGGTCAGAATCCGGTATCTGGTTGAGGTTATTGAAAATAAGAGAACATTTTTCATCAATAAAGCATGGTCAGGACAAAACCTATCCCAAAAAGTCCTGCTGTCAGCTTGCCAGTCTGTCACACCAACGCAAACTGACTGAGATGAGATGAACCTAAGAAATTTGCATAGATAACGGTTGCACTTCTGGTTTAACAGAACACAATGGAAAATCTTCGCACATACTTAAATTCACCATTAATCATTTAAAACCGCTGATGCCAGACATCTTAGTCATACTTACAGTCGTATTCATTAAACCGATAGCTATATGGAAATATCAGCTTACTAACTAGCCTATTGTGCACCAGTGTGCACCAGTGCCTGCGGACAAGAGTCTTGGGGAAGAGTTTGTAAGTAGGAATAGAAGTTATTGACAACTTTCTATGAATTACACTTCCCTCAAATAAACTGAAGATAATAGTTGTGTTTGTTGTTGTTGTTGTTGTTATCCCACAAAAACAGCACATACGTCGTCAGATAGTTTCATTATATTTCAAAGTAGAACAAAACGTATATCGAAGTTCCAAAACAACTTTAAACATTAGTTCAAACTTGTAGGAGAACTTCAGAAACTGATGAGGTTCAGTCACACAGGATGCCATTTAGGCAAGCATGGTTCATTTGAACAGAGACACGAAACTAGTAGCTACTTTAAAGTAGCAGTTTTTAAAAAGGAGACGAAACGAACGCGGATCTAAACATCAACACTCAACGCTTAACAAGACGAGAAAACACACACACACACACGTCTGGTCAGCTATCCTTGTGGGGACTCTCCATAGGCGTAATGGTTTTTATACTGTACAGACCGTATATTCTATTGCCCTACACCAACCCTACCCCTAACAGGACCCTTTCTGCATTTTTAGAGTTTCAAAAAACTTAATTCTGTATGATTTATAAGCTTTTGTACCCGTGGGGACCACAATTTAGGTCCTCACCGTGACACGAGTCCCCATGAGTCTGTGTGTAGTCAGGTTTAAGTCCCCACCAGGATATATAAACCAGTACACACACACACACACACGCACACAAATAAATAAGAAAAACTTACCGAGACGAGCACAGCAAACAATACAGTCGCACGGAAGACACTGGCCTGAAGTAAATAATGTTGACCCATAGTGGCAAAAAATAACAAACCAAAAGGTTTATGTCATTTCATAATTTGGTTAATTTCTCAGTGTCTTTGTTCGTCTTTATTTCTATCGTGCAAGATGAAAACGCCGCTGAGGTGCGATGCTGCTCATTCCTGCTTCAGGTGCTCCTGAACTTTTCTCCTCTTGACTCTTTCTCTTCGCTGAGTGATGAGGGCAGGACGAAACGAATAGCCCCGCCCCCAAGACTTCAACATTTCAAACAGCACCAGCGGACGTTCACCCTTTATAAAGACCCTGTTACAGGCGTCAGAGCAGGCAAGGGAGGTTAAACCTTCTCAAAAATGCATACAAATGGGACGTAACAACGAAGATGGTGTAGTTAACTTTTGCTTTAATCAATTCACTACGGATGTGCAGAATTCAAATGAATTTAAACCTTTTTATAACCCTTTAGCCCAGTCAAGTTTTAATTTACATTCATGCATTTGGAAGATGCTTTTATCCAAAGCAATTGCAGGTATATCAGTTCATGGTGACCGTGATTTCACCAAGTACAACATGTTCCTGGATCAACATCCTTGTTGATCCTGGAACAACATTCCAATTAGCCAATCAGAATTGAGAGATAACTTTTCAGGAAATTTCATCTGTTTTAGGCTTATGATCAGGGTTAGGTGCTTCTACGCCCTTGTTAATCAGCTATCATTTCACACTGATTTTAGGAATAAATTATGGGTAGGGTTAGGTTTAGGGGTAGGGATTGGGTTTAGTCTATATTTTTGGACAGTTATGTTGATCCAGGATCAACAAAATATGTTGATCCAGGAACATGTCTTACTTGGCAAAATCACGGGGACCATCAGTTCATGCCCTGAGAACCGAAGCCAAGACTTTAAAATTGCTAGCACCATATTACTGTTTGAGCTACAGTTATGACGTTAATACGAATGTTATACTAGCTGTTAGAGCGCAATATAAACTGTGGTTAAGACAACAGGTCAAGAGAAATTTTAAAACATAGCCACACAATGATCTTAAAACAAGTGAATGACAAGTTGCCATAGTGAAGGCTTATAGGATGGAAATAGCTGCAAATACTTATGAAAGTAGAATGTGTCTCCCTATTCATGTATAAATGATTATAATGTTAACAGGTCATTAATTATCAAAAATATTTTAAGATATCAGAGAGCAATTATATGTGTCGCTGAGAATTATTATCAAGTAATAAAACCTTTGTTGTTTCCGTCAGTATTAAATTACATATTAACTTTCTCAAAAAAAAAAAAATCCTTCATGGACCGCAACTGTGCATGGATGTCTTTTGAAATGTGATACTATCACAATAATCAGTAGGTTTAAAGAATCAACATCATTGGTCAAAAAGTAGGCCTATGTGTACTCTGTGATATTTAAGTGATAGTGAAGCCTAAGCCAGACACTAGATACTAATCACAATTCCACAACATTAGGCCTACAATATCATAATACTAATAATTTTTTTGTTAGTGCCAATTTTGTGAGCAACTGCTCTGTTGAAGAAATCAAGAGGAGCAGCAGTAGCACCCTCCAACAACAGTGCTACACCTACACAGTGTGTCACACAACACATATTTCAAGGCTTGCTAAAAAAATTCAAGTCTTGCTAACCATCTCACTATTAACTAGTTCTTTAAATATTCGTTATAAAAAAAAAACACATTACTTCATTATGTGTTTGTAAGGATTGTCTACTGATTAGGAGTGTTGTACATTTTAACAGTAGTTTAGGTGCAGAGTTCATTGAACTAGTATCATAATACTTAGCCCAACAGATCTGCCTTCCTGTTTGTCAATTAGGACTGTTGCATTTATGGCTTCTAAGCACTAGATTGAAAGATTACATTTCCATACAATTGCAGTAATTTTGAGGTGTCATTCAGTGTTACAATACAGCTATTTCAAGGACACACTATAGTAGTATTTACAGTCATTGGGCCTTTGAATAGCCCACACAGGGTTATAAGTGGCAGTGTCATCAACCATGATTTGTTGAGGCATTTCAAAAAGAAAGCTTTGTAACATCAATCCAAAGACCATTCCAAGCTTCAGATCGCATTAGGAGCTATTTGTGCAGAAATCCAGATAATCAAGGGTTCAACTTTTTTTTTCCACAACTGTAAGTTTCTTTTTGTTTCAGCTGAACAGTTCAGCAGCAATCTTGATGATTTGCTACATCAGCCCCATAACAATGTTTCATTGTAAATGCTTGTGGGCGCAGTTTTCTCTGCTTTGTGGAAGAGAGAGACAGCGCATATTAAGACACGAGCACGCTCACGCACGCACTCAGACCCTCCTCATTGTGATTGTCAGGACAGAGAGGCGGGCTCTTATGGAGGGCCGCTGCTCGGTTCTGCAGCGACTGCAGCGTCTCCCGCTGCCTGCTCTTCCTCCGCGCGCGTCTGTGATGTGAATATTAATGATGCTGCGCGAATCTCCGCGCTCATTTCCACCGCTTTCACCCATCTGAGAGGTAAGAGCGCATCCGTGTTTCGCCGTGTACGGTGCGGTTTGCATTATTATTCAGTGTCCATTTGATGCTGTGGAAGCGCGCGTCATGTTTTTTGGCGATGCTTAAGTATTGTTCTCAATGAAGAGGCGAAGCGAGTCAATGCGAGGTCTTTCAGTATGGTGCCTGTACACATATTTATACGGGCTGTTTCGTTCTTTAAAACTACCTCAACGTTGGGATGTGTCATTCAAGCTATCACAAGTAAACATTTGGTGGTCTTTGGTTGGTGAACACAATGACTGGTGGTACATCGAAAGAAATGGTCTTTATGTTTATGGGGAAAAAGAAAAACATGTACTTTTTCAGTATGTTTATAGCTAAGGAGGATCATTTTACAGAACCCATTGGATGGGTTTTTGGGAGATAGAGGGGATGCATTTGTGATCCTTAAATGGCATTCAACAAGTGTAGACTATCTCATTCTGCTATGTGCCTGATATTCTCCAGATAGGCTGCCATCCTGTGTGTGTGTGTTTGTCTAACTGTTTGCTTGACTATGTGTGTGGGGGCTCTATGCAGTCAGACTATTATATTTTCAGCTTCTTTTTTTTGAGCTTTCGTTTGAATAATTCAGACTTTGGGTCAATATAATGACTGTTAGTGCAGGAATTATTTTTAGAAAGGGATGTTTGCTTTTAGTCAATGTATTAAGCCAATGAGACTATATTACATGGGAAGGGAGACTGGTCCAAATAATCCTCTGGCCATGATTTCGGTCTCTCTCGCGCTCTCTCTCTCTCGTTCTTTCTCTCCCATCTGTGGCCCTGTGTTTGTCGTTTCTTTTTCTGTAATGTATACAACCAGATAATCACATCAGCTATGCATTTCAGAGGTGGAGAACGAGACAGAGAGGTGGGTTCTTTGGAAACCATGCTCTCATTCATGAAAATCAAAGGTGGAGCGCAATATTGGGCCCAGTCTGCAGAACAAAAGCACACTGATTTAACTCATCCAGCATAAAGCATAATCCTCTCATACAAGCAAGCACAATGAAACACCGGCCTTATAGTGTAGGGCTATTAAGCAGGCAGCCTCTCTCTCTCTCTCTCTCTCTCTCAATCTCTGTCTCGCTCACTTTCTCATGCTGTTCTCTTTAATCAAAACTCTTAACATAGAAAAATCGGTATTTCCATTAGCTAATTCATTGCTGAGGGGAAAAAAAATCCTTTATTGATACAGACTTCTAATGTGTCCAAAATAAAAATAAGGCCATGTTAAACTGCCAACTGTTATTGCCATCCATTGTTGTTGTTAAAAGCGTTGCTGACATATTAACTTTGTTTTAATCTCAGACTATAGTTCAGTATAGTGTGTAGGACGTAGAGTCTGCCTCATTTTACAGTGCGGAGGCCGTGGAATATGTCTACATTGTAAAAAATGACCGTGAATTTAACGGTAAACGACTGTAAAAATGCTACAGTAAAAACCTGTTAAATGGTTAACGGTAAATTCCCCTTCTATATACGGTGAAAAACTGTATTGGACATTACATGTATTGGACATTAATTTTACGGTAGTATACCGTTTTTGGAAGTGAAAAAGACCGTATAATTTACAGTGAATAACCGTAAATTGACATTCCCAGAATTCCCTGCATTACATTTCAAATTTGATGTTTTTTTTGTTGAAATAACTATGTTTCTTCTTAGTTTTTTCTTATCAGTTTTGTATATTAGGGTTGTGTGTTACACCTAATGTTGTTAAATGAATGTTTATTGCATTATTTCAGTTTCATGTGTGTTACCATGATGGTGTTTAGTGTTTGTGTGAATGACTACTGTGCACCTT